TTTATTTTAGGAGTTCCACACATGTTCATATCACAATGTGTATAAAAGCCCACAGCCTACAAGCTGAATCAAAACAAATTGTGCCACTTTGTGAAGGCTATGCTTCAGTTGAACAGCCATTAAATGACAGTGGTATAATTGTACTCACTCCACAATTTTGAGTCATTTGGTTACAAATTTGAAAAGTGGATGTTATTCACTAATGAATGACAACCAAAATTGCCATCTATACATATAGATATCTGATTTTTCAGAAAATGGTGATATACAAGCATGACATGGTTAGGACAAGAGTAAATTGCTACTATAGTGGAAGCAATGTACTAAAATATTTTTTTCCCCAAAATATCATAATTCTAATGACAAATATCATAAATTCTAATGACAAATGGTACTTTTGTCCAAATATCTAAAAATAGAATATTTAGCATATTTGAATGTCTGTAAACTTTAAAATACAAAAGGAAAATCAACAAGAAAAGAAAATTAATGTTAGCTTTCAAAACTGAAGATAAACATATTAACCTATTGATTAATTACAATGTTGTAACTAAGGAAATATAATTAAATCATGGGCTAAATAAATGCAAGACCAAAAACAATTTAGTCAGAAAAGTAGAAAAAGAATAGAACTAAAGGCAAAATGTAAATAGATTAGACAACTGTTGCTAAAATATAATTTACTGCATTTATTATAAATTAAATTTTGTATTGCAACCAAAACCCAAAATTGATTTGAAGAGGACAAGTAATACACAAGTAATATTTTGAAAATTATGACTATGTGCATTAACAAAGTAATAATTATGTGATCTACACTTTTCTGAAATACCTCTGCTAAATAGCAAACTCACATCTATCACCAATTTTGCTTTCTTAAAATAATTTGCAATGCTTATATGACCAATGAGAAATTTCCATTTTTACAGCTAAAGATCCAGAGATTATTGGATTCTAAAATAAAATACCAATTAAAAAAAAGTTTAATTTTTAATAAATTCACCATAAATGTTTTTATGTTCCCAACAGACAGATTTTGCTCTCTACTGAGACATAAAATGACTTCATTTTTTTGTACCTACAGAATTATGAAAAGAACAAAACTTGTAGAAAATAGAAAAAAAATGTATGAAGACAGATCAACATTTTATAAGCATAAAATGGTCTGAGAATTGCAATAAAAAAGCAACAGAATAAAATATAAATGTTTAATTACAAGTCAAAAAAATTAATAATAACTAATAATTATTCTGTCTCCTCTTGTGAAACTATAGTCAAGTGACAAGAATAGATTGTTCCATAATTTCAAGCAGAGCTATATAATGAATAAATAAAATATAAACTTTTCTCTTCCTCCTCCACATATATTTTGATTACTTGGAAAGTAATCTGATTTTAATCTATTTTTCCATCACAAAAATGTTTTATCAAGAAAATGTCCAAAAAGACTTTATATAGACAAATTAAATAATGAAATAATAATAATGAAATAAGCTGTTTTATATTATATATATATATATATATATATAACTCCATTTTTCTATTTTCACAGCATAACTATTAATTTTTATTTGAAACTCAAGCTAATTTTTTATTAATTTTTAAATATTCAAGATAATGTTTATATCCCATTGAAAATATGGATTTTTATGTGCACCATTCAAGGTTATATTCCATAAAGAAAATTTTTAAATTTATAACTTGAATTCAATGTGTTTCATCATTTGGAGTTAATTCTAAGTTTACTGATGGAAATATAAAACTAAAACAATTGAGAAAAGATAGCAACATAACAACTGCCAGTGATATCATCAGTTTATTAAATTTAATACATTTTAACTTCATAAAATACTTTTGGCATATCATTTATGTTAGCAATTTATCATCTGATCTTAAAAAAAAAAATGTTAATTTCTTACAAGTTATGACCCTCTAATATTATTTCCCATATACCCAAATAGAATCAAACTAGATAACAAAGATGGAGGTAATAATAGTCCAGCAAAAAGCCTATAAGTCTTAAGGATATTCTATTTGATAAATATGGGAAGTAATTCCTTAAACAAGAAGCAATAACTATTTATGAAAACAAGGATAGAAGTTGGATAACAAACTAGTAAGGCTTTTACTCAAAAAATTAAAAAAGGAATTCATTATTTTGCCCAGCAATAAAACATGCAGCTGTCAGAATTGCTAAAAATAGCAGTGCAGCTGAGAACAACAAATGTGCATTCCACACCATGCAGCACTAACCAATACACTACAAAAACAAAAAAAGGCACCAAAAGCAACCAAAACAAGTTTCTATTACCGATTACTGTCTCTCTCTCTCTTTCTCTCTCTCTCTCTCTATATATATATATATATATGAGAGAGTCTTTATTTTCTTAGTTTTATACAATATTGAAAATTCTAAGATGAAATAATCATGCTAAGTAACAATTCAACTAAAAATTTGTTGAAAAATATTGCCTTCTATCAGAAAACTATTTCTTTGTGCACTGCCATCTAGCTGGATCATATAGTACAAGATCATATTTTCCTTTTGTATAGGGGAAAAGATAATAAAATTAACAAAAGTGATCATACTGTAAAGAAAATTAAGTGTATTGACTTTTAGAATTATCTCAATTTAACAATATCTATTTGCCAGAAGATAAAGAGTAAAGTGTAAAGCAACATAAAACACTTCAACACATTGTGTTTATCTCAATGTTGAAAATCTTTTCTGATAAGAATTAATAGTTGAAAATATATATCTCTCTTAATAGCCTATTATCATTTGTAGGAATTAAAAAGAATTATTAAATGCATAAAAAAAACTTCCTAGTGCTTATATTTTTTAGATAATGTAAAATAACATCTTTTGGGTTATTCTTCTAAATGCTGAAGTAAATGAAAATGTGTTTTTTTCCATAATTAGATTATTCTATGTTTTAAAAAGTCTGAGTTCCAATTCCAAGCCATTATCCATCACACCACCTGCACATTCAAGCTTACGCCTGGTATTCCCAAGCAATTACCCATCTAGATACTGACCTGGCTCGACATTGCTTAATTGGTAATTATATGAGAGTCAGTGTTTCAACATGACATGGCCACCAGCTCTAACGATAATGATACTAAAACCCAGCAAAATATCTCTTGTAATCCTAGTGGTAAATGCAAAAAACTAACAATTATCTGGTACAGACTCCTTCTTGATCATTTGAACAGGAATAGAGGTTTATCCTTTGTTTCCTGTTTAGGGTTGGATTTCCAGTTCCTTCTAAAGTTTTTGTCTTTCTCTTACCCTTTTTGTAGCCCATTGTGTCTTGGTGGCATTATCCCCTTGGTTGGGAGTGGTGCCTCTTACTCTGTAACCCTTTACCTCAAGTGGCTCTTGGACCTTGTACAGGTTGAAGATCATCATAAAATAAAATTTATCTTATGGCACTACTAGCAACAGATTTCTTTTAGATGCCGTTTTTACCTATAAAAGATGACTGAAATATTTAAAAGAATACAATTCATTAATCAATGACTAAGACTTTTAAAGTTACAAAGATTAAATTATAGAATTGGTTTTAGATCCTGGCAAGTGATGAAGTGAATCTTATATATCTAATGACAAATGGTAATCTTAATATTATTAACACACTATTTTCCTTAGAGAACATAATTTTGCATTAATATATAATAAATAAAGCTATCTTACAAATCTACAGGCATTCTTTTTACGACATCACAAAAACGAACAGCTTACTATTGTCATAATACTTGCTAAAATTATTGCACAATAACTGAAAACTGATGCAATGATAAAGTAGATAATAGTAATATTCAGAATCTCAATAAAATCCCCAGTATGCACATCAAGTTTTTATAAAAACTGCTAAACAATATGAATACAACTAAAATTATAATAAAACAAAATTAAAATGTATGAATTTTACCAAACAAAATAAGCAGTAGAATTTTAGCAGTAGAATGAAGATAATGGTGCCACTTTAGCAATAAATATTGAGATGCATGTATTGTAAATATCAGAAATATGATTCAAGTGGACTGTTGCAAGTCCAAATAGCAAATATAATTTTCCCCATTTCCACATTTATTATTAAGTGTCTTCAAGGATACATTTTCACATACCAAACGGAAAATGTAAAATTCAAAAGCAACAAATCATAAACCAGAAATTATGCAAAAAGTCAGAAAAATGCCAATGATCATTTATGAAAGATGAAAATTTTTACACTGAGAGTTTAGTAGCTGTTTTTAATGCACACTAACATAATTTGAGAGAAAAATATACCAAAACTCTTAACTATAAATAGAAGCTTAACATATTCATTATGAGTGAAAAAATATTGATAACACTAATGTTGAAGGAGTTGCAATCAATGCTGAAGATTATTAAATAAGAAACATTGCATATTTACATACCAGTAAAACTTATATACATAAAATATTGTATTGGTTTTTGTATATTAAAGTTTATAATACCACTGTAGCAAAATATTTTTGAAGATGTTAATATGTAAAAATTTGTTTGATTATGAAACATTATTTTAGGATATTGTGAAAAATATCAAGTCAGATTTGAATCTGACTTAGTATCCCTTCAATACCATGACCACATCTTTATATTACTAATTGCCCAGATCAGCAAAAAAAAAAAAAAAAAAAAAAAAAAAAAAAAAAAGTTAAGAATTAATGTTTCTTAGTTTTTAGTAGAGACTCAAAGTTTGACAATATAAACATGATGTTTGGAAGGGGAGATACTCAATGATGATGCAGTGTGTTGATATTCAAAATTATTATTTAAATTAAATATACCTATAAATATAAAACATTCTGATTTATCTAGATTTATAAAGCATCAGTATATTTGACTGACATGGTTGTGTCCATGTTTGCTATTTTTTTTTTAAAAACTTGTTCAATATAATCCCAAATGATCTGAGTGTCCTACAAAGCCTGCTCTGCTTGTGCCATCCTCCCACATACACTGTACATACCAGGGATATTTAGCTAAAATAGAGGAGGACACATGCGCAGGTGGGTCATTGCCATGCTCTGTCGTATTAGTAAGGGTAGTAGTAGTAGTAGTAGTAGGATGATGACCATTCAGTCTATTCTCTGTATATGAACTCTTCCGAAGATGATCCTGAAAAACAAATCAACAAATGCAAATCTTAAAAACATGTATGCATACATACCAAGGATAAGATGTTAAAGTCTTCATTTGGGCTGAGGAGTTTATGCCATTGACATATTTTGTTGGATGACCTTTCTCCTCAGGTTTCTGGGGACATGCTTTTTCATAACACACTACCTTTGACTGGAAACAAAAACATTAGCACAATACATTTGAGTACAGGCCAGAAAAAGGAGGAGAGAGGGACTTGCCACAAAAAGGAGAATTTTTATTTCATTCCTTTTTCAACAAAGGTTATATTGGAATTAAAATTCTTTAGATGATAAGCTAATTACTATATAAAAAATATTGTTCTTAGTGTTATTGGCTACCAATACCAATATTAATGAGAATAGTTGGTTTTCAAATTGTTTTTTCTGAATTTTGTTATGGCAGAATTACATATTTGTAATTGGGTAGAATTAGAAAGCTTATAGTATAGCCACTGCACTCAAACTCTTAGTGTTTTGCTTTGCTAGTTTACCAACTTTTTGTCTTTAGTCCAAACATTAAAAGATGGAATATGATATATGAGAAAGTGAGAGAAAAGTCAATGAAATGCCTGTTTTAGTGAATTTGTTATAATTATATGATATTTTTTGAAAGTTTGTTATAAATTCCTCCTTTGCAAATTCATATTTTCATGGGTAAATTATAGACATCAAAACCCAATGGTATTTATTTGAACTTTCTTTCTTCGGGTCATGTGAAATTTCCTGTACAGCACCTAAATATTTATAATTTGAAAATTAAAAATGAAATTGAACAAAAATTTAAATAAACATTGCACATTTAAACACCAGTATAAAACATCATCAACAACTGGTGATTTCAAATTTTACAATTTAAAAAGCTGTGTTAAAATAAATGAAAAAGATTTGAATAATTTATTTTTTTAGCTGCTTTCATGTAATTATTAAAGAAAATTGATTAATAAAAGTAAGGACAATTTACAGCAAAGTATTAATGAACTAAACAATGCTGAGAGAAATAACTAAAACAAAATAATACAAAATGCTCCATACACTATATTTTAATGATAAAATAAGATTAACAAATGCAAATATATAATCTCACAAAATCAACATATCCCTTATAATCATTAATTTAACATAAAAATTAATTACTTTTTATTTTAATAAAAATTCTTTATCAACTGAATAAAAAGATTGAAAATTTCCTCATATACTTAATTGACAATGAAATAATTTATCAAATTCCTACATGCAATTTTCTAACCTTAAAAAATAAGTTTTAAGTTTTTAAAAATTGGTTAACAAAATCAGGACATTACAAAAGTTTAAATAATGAAATGTATTTTAACGCCAAGCAATTTCTTGTATAAACATTTTTTCAATGTCTTACATTGTTTTTCATGTTGCTTATAAGAACTATGTAATAGATTCATGCTGTGAAAAGTTCCACAGGAAATAACATGCTACAAGGGCAGCATCTATTGCAATGATTTTAAAAAGTGTGTGTGTATATATATATATATATATATATATATATATATATATATATATATATATATATATATATTACACAAGTATGAATATATGAAGTAAGATTATTAATATTGGCAGATAATTTTTTTTTTAATACTGGTCTCTTAATGAATACAAACAAAACTTTATTTGTGACAGAAGAAAGAATTTAAAGACCATAACACTTCTTTTTCTTTGCAACCATAAATGTCTGACATTCTTTCAAGTTGTTTCCTTTAAAGGAAGAAAAACTCTAAAGGCAATATTAAAGTGACTGCTTTAGATGTGCAAAGGCAATCAATGAAATATAGAGCTACATTTAGAAACAGATGTGTGCAAAATCATAATAAGTGATATTTACCTAAGAGACACACTGCACCTAACTTTGCAATGTATACATTTATATTATTTGAATATCATCATGAAGTATAAAGCAATGTATAAAAGAACTGCTTGATGCTTGGATTCCTTTTAGTATTGATTAACCAAATTATATCATTAACATAAGAGGTTAAAAAACCCGAATCATTAATTGCACCCAGTACAAAATTGATTTTAGAGAGTAGCAGTAAATTAGTTAGTCTTTCTGAAAATAATCAACATGATAAAGAATAATAATTCTGATGCATAACAACCTGAAATTTAAATGAATAGCATATATGTTAATAATTATTACTTAAAATTAGGAAAAACTGAAAAGCCTTTCTAATACGAAATATTAATTCTTAGCAAGTAAATACTCACTTGAGTTGGAATTTCTCGAACTAAGCGCGTAGGAAACCATCCTTCATCACCATGTAACCGGCCCTAAGAATGAAGAATATTTATTAATGTCATACACAAGTTTAAATCAAGAAGAATAATTATAGATACTATGTGATAGACTAAAAAAAATTAAGCTAATTTTCTGAAATCATTTTAAGAAATGCTAGAGGGAATAAAAAATTAAATGGAATCAAATTAGACAAAACAATGATTTTAACTGTACAAAGAAATTTCCTGTTTTGCAGCATTAGTTATAGTTTAAAATTAAATTACTTCCTTAAATTTCATAAACCATTGATCAATCATAACTTAAATCAAATGTAAGAAATTTATGTAACCTTATTAATTATAGTTATCCACAAATATAAAACACTTGGTGTGTGTGTGTGTGTGAGAGAGAGAGCAGATACAGTGTTGGGTAAAAATCATTTTCCAGTATTCATACCAAAAAGAAAGTAAATGATATAGTAGTAATACAATTTTGTTACATAAACTTGGCAAAGACCATAATTTATGGCTTAAACTAATTTTAGCTTGCAAATAAATGGATAGTAATTTTGTAATTGTATTTATAAAATATGAAACACTTGAATATTGCTGCCAATTTTTGATGTTACAGGTAAATTAATACTACTAATATTGTTCTCAGTAAATTCGCTCAGAACAATGACTAATCAAGACAAATATTTAGAGCAAGACTCATATGATCAATTACTCAGTTAAAATCTCATCTTTTATAAATCAATCTCACATCTAAGCTTAAAATTTGTTGGAAAAAAGTTAATGGTCTTAAGTTTAATACTTTTTCAGTTCTTGCTATATTGAAGTTATATATCACTTTAGGATATTTCAAAAGACTGTTTCCTACAGAGGTATTTTATAAATAAATAATACTGTGATTTTTTTAATATTATTTAATTATGTTTCTATAAAATCACAATTAAAGCAATGTAGAGAATACACATTTTATAATTTTCATCTACAATGCATGATATTTAAAACCTATTAATACTCTAGCTAATGATAATGGAAAATATTTAAGACACTACCTTTTATAATTAGGCAAAGAAGAAATAGTCTATACATAGGGAGTAGTCTTCATAAAGGATTATGGCAATAATTATAAATGAGAAATTTTGAATTGTATTTTTAAAATCATAAAATCTTGAGGCAAATAAATCAGTTGTTATATAAGGATCATATTTTTTTTAATTAATACTCCAAGATAAAAATCAAATAAAAATTGACAAGTAATATTTTTTTCTATTTACAAATAAAATAAAAGAAAACATACCCTACACCAATCATCTGATTTCTGTAACAATTCAATGACTTGATCACTTTCAAATTTTAAGGGTATCCGATCATTTGGTGGTGGTGGGATTCCTCTGTAATCTTCTGAAGAACGGACCTTACCTGTTAAAAAATATTGATACTTAAAACCAGAAGAAATTTTATATAACTAAAAATCTCAGTGAAATGTTTCGTCTTCTTTTAAAAAAAAAAAGAAAAAAAGAGTCTAATTTTTAATTTGGTAATACTTACGGAGTGCATATTCCACAATTCTGGGAGGTATTGGAGGAACTGAATAAAAAAAAAAAAAAAAAAGAAGCTATTTTATATGACAGATAATAACTGAAAATTATTCAACAGATAGGATTTACATAGTTCAAATGATAAAACAATGTTTTTTTTTAAATCATTTCAAAGCAAGGTAGGAATGCAACTAGTATGCAGGAAGTTACAGAGGGTGAAAGTGAGAGAAAAGACTGGGTATAAGGGGAATTGAGAAAAGAATAAAAAATGAACAAGATAAAAGAAGATGGCTATTTGAATTTCATTTAAGTTTTTGAAGGTTGGAGTTTTCAGGGAAGCAAGTAAACAGAAGGGAGTTCCACTGTTGGGAAGTGTGAGAAAAGAGTAGAAGTGGTGGCTACATTTAACTATTCCAACAGTAAATGAGTGGGACCTAGATGCCTATCTAGTAGCACACTTAAATTCATGTAGCCAGAGCACCAGGGAAAAAAAGCTTGTCAGAGGAGTTGCCATAAAAATATTTGTAGAAAAAACAAAGGGAAGCCACATGACGTTTGAGAGAAAGTGACTGAAGTCGAGATGCCAAGTCAGGATTGATTACATTGTAGATCATTCTTTGGATTTTGTCAAAAAGCTTGAAATGAATAACAGGGGCACCAGACCATATATGGCAACTGCATTCAATGCATTGCTGAACGGTAGATTTGTAAATGTGCAAGATTGACTTCGATGAGAAAAACCTTCTGGCACAGCATAATGAACCCACTTTCTTTGCAGTACATACAGCTATTGATTCATTGTAGTTGTTCCAACGTGAGGCCAAGAAGGAGTCGAGCATCAGTTATGCTGATGGTGGGAAGGAAAGTTTCTCTATGGTGGTTAATGCAACTAATACTAAATAAAATTAATTTTATTAAATCTCATTGTCCTACATGTCAATTTAGTGATACCTGAATTTGAGTAGAAAGGCATTCAGATAATTTCAGTGTTTGATGGAATTTGTAATAGTGAAAACAATTATTATTTGTAAATGTTTCAGAAAATATTAATCGACTGCATGTTAAAAAATGCTCACTTTACATAAACAAAAACATACTCATGTTTAACTGTAAATATAGAGTTCTTATTTAAAAGGAGATACTGAAAAGCAGTCTAAGCCTTAAATCAATTCTTTTTCCTTCTTATTTTTTTTAATTTTATACTATAATTATTATCAGCTTATGTCATTTCCCCCCCTTAATCTACTAATAAGATAAAAATGAGTTGACATTCAATGATTGTAGTTGAAAAATTGGTACATAACCTTAGGTATAAGATAAATTCTAATTAAAACAGTTTCAGTTTATTTTTAAAAAATGTATGAACCTTACAAAAAGAAATAGAAAAATCAGATGTAAACTTGTTATAATTTTAATAATTCTGAAACTTTAAAATAATCAGATAAGAAAGAATTAACGTTAGAAATCTGATTATCAACATGAAAAGCATATTAACTGGTACATTATAATAGTATTACATATTTTTTGATGAAATTCAGTCTCATTAGTAAATAGTTTTACTACAGAAAATAAACCCTAATTTTTTGTACAACAGTTCAAAAATTTAATTTCTAGATAAAAAAAAAAAACAGACACAAAAATAATACTTTACCATTTCTTTCTTTGCCTATGCATTCTTTGTGAACTGCCTTCTTTGTTTCTGTAAAAGACAAAATTTATGAGTATATCTAAATAAATGCAATACAGCAGTGTAAAATAATAATATTATAACCCTATGAACATAAACACCATTTTATTAATTACTAGCAGTAGAGCCCGTTGTTGCCCAGGGATGTAACAGTAAGAGATAGATCAAGTATTGACCATCATAAAGACTGAAAAATAAAATTGACAAAGATTATTGTTTAAGGTTGACGGACACGCATGTCTTATTTAGTTTTTTTTTTTTTTTAACGAATTGGTCAAACCCAAACAAAAACATTGTTTTCAATCATTATGAGTCTACTGATTGAATAGAATTTTATTATAAACAATTGTCTTGTAAATGGAATTTTTAAAGCATTCTGAATGTAAAAATAAAGAAAAAAGTGTGCAAGACAATAAGAAACACTACCTGCCAAAAAAAAAAGAAAAAAAAAAGGGAAGTTTAGTTGAAATTGGTTGAAAAATGTAGGAAATCTGATCCCATATATAAACGAACACACACACACACACAAACAACCTGGGTTTTATAATAAGTATAACTTGATATGACTTGTCCCCCTTTCATTCTCGCGATGCCTCTTAATCATGTTTTCAAATTGATTTTGTGCAAAAACAATTGTGTTTTTCCAATTTTTGGCACTGTCAGAACCACCGCAAGGTAATTTTATGTAGTCCTGTGAAGTTTTGTTGAAATCGGTTTAAAAATGTGGGAAATCCGATCCAATATATAAACGTAGACACACACACAACCTGGGTTTTATAAGAAGTATGATACATGATATAAGATATATTTTTATCTCATATTTTCTTCTGTTAGGGCAAATGAGAACCCATTTAATGATTATGATTGTGGCAAAATCCACTACTATAGCCTTTGATTTTACAGACACAACATCAGCCAAACATCGACTCTTGCAACACATTATATCAGGTCATCCCATAAGTTCTGTCCGAATTTTGAATAAAGAAAACAAGTGACCAAATGTTACATTTAATTACAGATTCAATCAACAATGTATTTTCCCTGATTATCTATGACTTCCTTCCATCTATTAACAAGCTTATGAATTCCATTACTGTAAAATTATGTTGGCTTTGATCCAAAGAACTCACAAATGTCAGTTTTAACCTCTTCCTGTGTTACAAAAGCTGTTTCTTCCAAATGATTCTGTAAGCAAGAAACAAATGGTAGTCTGAAGGATCAAGATCGGGGGAATAAGGTGGATGAGGAATTTTCTCCCAACCATGTTCCTCGATCTTTTGTGACGTGATTCTTGTTGTGTGGGGTCGCGCATTGTCCAGATGAAACATCACCCCTTTTCGATTCACTAGAGCAGGTCTTTTTTTCCTCAAAGCTTGGTTCAAATGCTCTAATTGCTGACAGTATATTTGAGCATTAATTGTTGCATTAGGTGGTAAGTATTCAAAGTGGATTATTCTTTGGTGATCCCACCAGATTGAAAGAAGAACCTTTTGCCCATGAAGTTCCCTTCTCGGCTGTGGCTGGGGTCCTTCCCCTTTACCAAGCCACTGTCTACGACGCTTAACATTTCAATAAAAGATCCATTTTTCATCACCAGTCACAAGTCTATCCAAAAAAGGTGAAACAAGTTGGCAAGAATGGAGAGAAGAGCAGATGTCAACTGTCAGATTTGAGGTTGTTTTCAGACAATTTATGAGGCACCCATTTTCCAAGTTTAGGAACTTTTCCAAGTTGTTAAAGATGACGATGAACAGTTGTATGGTTTGAACTGAGAACTACTGCCAATTCCTCAACTGATAAAGCAGGATTTTCTTCAAGGGCTGCTTCAAGAAGCTTTTCATCAAACTCAACTGAACGCCCGGTTCGATCTTCATCTGCAAGGGTGAAATCTCCACCTCTGAATTTTGCAAACCATCTTCTGCAAGTTCTTTCATTCACACATTCCTCTCCATAAACTGAGTGAATGTTTCTAGCTGCTTCGGCTGCTGAGTTTCCTTTCTTGGACTCATAAAGCATTATGTGCCTCAAATGATTCTTGGGTACTTCTTCCATGTTAGCAGGGTTTTAACCAAACAAAATTTAATTTTGTTCTCTGAAATAAAATTTGATCAGTTTAAATGCATCTAAACATAAAAATAATGTTCAGCTCCATTAGACATGATAAAATACTCTTTAAATTTCGTTCATTTTAACAAAAAGTTAAAATTCGGACAGAACTTATGGGATGACCTGATATTAAATGCCTGATTTGGTGGAGAGGGAAGAGGAGCAATTTACGCAATTCTAGGAATGAGGATTACAGGAAATCTTATTTTCTATCATATGGTTTTCTTCTAAGACTTTAAGGCTAGTTTGTATATGGAAGCATTTGCACCACAGCCAGTGACACTACAACTGAAGAAACAGCATCTTCAAAAGAATGGGATAGAGCTATGGTAGAAACATTTATTCTCCCTTTTATGTTTCTACATTAAGAACATTATATTTGTGATATAATACCACTGTAGTTCACAGATGGAATGGAATAGCTGAAAGTAAAAAGAATGGAAAACATGCTGTGTTCTCAGAGAGACTTTTATATACTACGACATACACAAAATTACACACACACACACACACAAACATGTCCCATGCAGATAATAATATATCACATATATCTACGCAGCAAAGCAAAGTGCAAGAAGAAATGAAAAAACAAATAGGGTCTTACATATAATATAGAGAATCCATTTTTGGGAAAGATATATTCTCAAAGGGGAAATGCTATCATAAATTTATAGAGCCTGACCTTACCAGGTCAACAAACTTTAGTGTTTTCGTTACTGTATAGAGTGACATCATTAAGCAGCTGTCATTTAATCCACGTGACTTATCTCCATCAAAGGGAGATAATCGGTTTCTCTCTCTTCACAAGAAATATGATTATAAAGCTAAATATTTCCATTACCAGTAATAATTAAACATATCCAAAATTAATCTAGAACAATATATAGCTAAAATATTAATAATACTTATTAAGATGCTTTGCAGACTTCTTGTATCATTAAATTAGTTATGCAACTTCTTAATTGTGGTATGCTTGTAGCATAGTGGTCATCAGTGTGGAAAGTGGCATCAGAGAACTGAATTAAAATTTCAGATAATGCCGTTGCATTCATTTTCACACATATACTCTTAGGGAAGATATGAATCCCTTTCTTCTTGCATCTCTGAATTACATAACAGAGTAGACTAGATTCTCAAGATTTGGGTGGCAACCAGTCTAAGAGAAGGAAAATTAAATTTTAAAACTGTAGAGAAGGCAATGGAAAACCACCCTACTATCTTTCTAAAGACTGCATGGTAGTTTACAGAGAATAAAAAGGAATTTGTGGAGAGTCATGCTACATCCCAAATGAACATGGCATTTTAGAATAATACTTCAAAATTATTATGTTTTAATGCTGTCATACATACAGTTTATTATTTTCCTTTGTTAAACAATCAAAAGTAGCTTTTCTTTTTGCATTTTTTATTTTTTTTTAATCTTGCTGTAACTGGAAAAGAAAGGACCATAAAAAGAAATTTAAGATTGACTTACCTTGACATTGATAACCTTGGAAAAACACACCTCTGCATGAAAAAAAGCATACCAGTAATAATTAAACATATCCAAAATTAATCTAGAACAATATATAGCTAAAATATTAATACTTATTAAGATGCTTTGCAGACTTCTTGTATCATTAAATTAGTTAATTATACAATTGTATATTCACAATTTCTATTATGGAAATAATAAACAATCAAAATTTTCAGAAGATTTTTTAGTATTTTAATATATATCCTCCTGAAATTGACATCATTTCATCTTCCATATATTGAGACCATTTTACTTAGTTTATATTGTCTTGGTTTCAAATAAAAACTTGGAAATTTTCCAAAATATTTCAGTGAAATTTTTACTTTCCAAAATTATCATTTAGATATATAGGGAAAGGTTTATACTAGGTATCGCCAAATATTTTCTACAAAAGAGCATATCATGATGGAGAAGGCCCCAAACTTGATAAAAACAGTTTTATTGTCAAAATGTTTGTTATTATTAAAGGGAAAGACCAAAGTATTTTTTTGATTATTTTATCAAATTTTTTTAATCCTTTCTAGCACATTCAAAATTTTGGTTAAAAATCTTTTCTTTTTTATAAGTGTATCAGCCAAAGATTAGTATGGGAAATTTAGTGTCTTTTTTGCAGTAAAAAACATTGTTTTGGAAATTCTTGAAAAAAAATAAATAAATAAAATAAAAACTAAAAAAGCAAATAATTGTTGGATTTTAATTGTTCAGGACTTATTCACAAATGAATGAAATTATTCTTGAATTTTTTTTTTTAAAAATCTTAGTAAAAATATTTTTTTAATTTTATTTTTACATCTGTCAATTTTATGAAATTTTGAGAAATTAAAATTTCAGCCTCTTCACTCCTTGGTGAATTTAAATCAATTTGTTTTTGTCAAACAGAAACAGCATTTACCGAAAATTTGCTTCAAATTGTAAAATAAAAAAAATGAAATAAAACATTATTAATTAGAAAAGCCTTTAATTGCTTTTATAAATAAAATATATTAAGGATTCTATAGTCTTAAGATAATTTTTTTTTGATGAATAATGAATTTCTACAAGAATTGTTTTCATTTTTTTTTTTTAATATTAATTAGAAAAATTCATTAAGTTTTAAATCTTAAAATTCTATATTAATTTCAGCCTTTCAGATGATATTAAATGAAAACTATATTTACTAATCATAAATAGAAAAGCTTAATACAAATCATCAAACATCAATAATTTAAAAATAATTTTGAATATTTTTTTTGTATGTGTATAAACGTGTCAGTTTTTGTATGTAAAGGCAACCATAAATGACATCAGAAAATAAGAGTGATGACTATAGTAAATTTAAAGCCAAAATTTTCAAAATTCAAAACATTAGATTACAGAGAATATTTTCCTAAATTTTTAAGATTAATGAACACTTAAAAATTATATAAAAATGGTGCTTAAGTCATTTTCTTAAATTATGTTTTGCAGATAAAGTCTCCCTAGAACATTAGATATGTTATCATGCTGTCAAACATGTCAACACAGCTACTGTCAAGTTAAAATTTCTGTGATATTTTCAACAAAGTAAATAATATTGTTTCAAATCAAATTAATTATACTTTAAATTAGCTAATATTCATCAAATAAAGTTTCTGAAAAGTATATTTTATTCTTGAAAGATTTTTCATAAAGAGAATTACATTGTGATAAAAGACAACTAAAAAAGCTATTTTAGAAAAAAAAATTCTTTCAATTCAATTTAAATTAGTTTTTGAAATACAACAAAGTATTTTGGTTAGTGAAAATATTAAATTTAGTTTGAACTTAAAATAAAAATTCAAGAAAGATTTTTCGTTTTTAAAAATTCATCTTAAACTTTAAGTATTGTCTTTTTCGTAGCGGTCTCTAGTTTAAACTGACAGCAAGAGGATATGACTGAAACAGCTGTATTTTTAAATTTATGCTGTCATTTAATTATTTGAAAGGGAATTTTTATTATACATTATTTCCGTTAGTAATTATATCAACATATCTTGAGGCAAGTTCTATTAAAAATCCACATGACATCAGATAAATGCAAGCAAGATGAAAGAAATCAATATAATTGCTATATGTAATATAACTTCTATTTGGCGCAGGAAAGGGGGAGGGGTGCAATATCCTTGTTTTCTCAATTCCATATTTCCATTAAAAAAAAAAAAAAAAATTAAATTTCAAAATTCAACTTTCAGATGATAATGTTTTTTTTTCCCCTTTGAGTGATGTCAAAAATTAACTTTAAAATGAAGATCATGGATGTAATCTTTCTGATCATTTTTAATCCCAAACAACTATCCGACAATATCATTATCAATGATCAACTTACTAAAAAACTATTCTTCCTACAATATTAAATCTTAAGACGTCATATTTTATCTACAAGATACACATTTACTTATTTTCTCTGTTAAAAAACTACTCACCTCAGCAGTTTACCACAGACATCACATTCTTTTGGCTTATTAAATGTGTACATCAAATAACTGGAACCTCCTGCAGGCTGAACATTACCTCTGCAAGTGTGGAAAAAGTCATTAATTAAATTTGGAATAAATGATATAATTTACTGATAACTATATGCATTTACATCTAATATTTAAAAGTGAGTATCTAAAAATGTCAACCTGAAAGTTTTAAACTTAATAAAAATGTAATTGATTCCATTTTGGGAGAAATCTTGAGTTTTAACAATGTACCATATAAAAATGTGTGTGTGTGTGTGTGTGCATATATATATATATATATATAGGTATGATAAAAAAAAACATACATATACACACATACTTGCACATACATTTTTTTTTCCTCAGGTGTGTTGAAACAGTGGTTAATGTTATATAATAGAAGTATTAAGTATATATTATTGAATATACATAATATCCCATACCAGTAGCACGACTTGGGAGTTTCATGCAAACATGCAAACTTCAGGTACAAAATATTAACCATTAAGCACTATTAAATTTGCATTCTCATGGTTTTGATTTAAAATTGTGTGTTGAGATTTGTTCATTTTATTATTGTTGCCTATAATATTAGAATTAATTATTTATAATTTATATCGTTCAAATTCTTAAGTGCGAAAGACGAAAAATTAAAAAAGATTATTTTAAATAGTTTAAAAAATTTTTTTTTAAATTTGAATTTACATAAGTACATTATGTATCAAGGAGGATAACTCCCTTTTTTGCATACAAAACAGACGTTAGTTGTAATAGAAATAATTGGTGCTTATTAAAATATATTATTAAAGTAAACTTAGCTCTCACAATGTTAACAATTATAGTTTAAGACTATATATCTAATGCATTTGGAACCTGGCCTTATACTTACAAAGGTGAAATCACATACACACACACATCATAAATTAATAAAGTATGATCTATAATATGAAATTATATATGTGTATAGATATACAGACAACAGGATAATTCTCCTTCCTAAACTGAGACCAAGACAAGCAGACCAGATGAAAAAGGATCTAACTAAATTCTTTAAGGACCATAAACTGAATATTACCACCAATACTAACGCTAAAGTGATCAATTTCCTTGACATTACATTAGACCTTAGTAAAGGTCTGTATAAATGTGTAAAGTATTTTGCACCTGAAGATTGCATGAAACTCCAAGTCGTACCACCAACAAGGGATATTATGTATATTCACTAATATATATATATATATATATATATATATATATGAGAAATTTGAAAGAAATAAAAGTATCAAATATTTAAAATGAAGTGATTTTCAGTTTTGCATGAAATCCTAAGTTAATGTCATTTCATAATTTATCTAGACTAGCATTCTCATGTCTTTTTTTAGAACATAAACTGATAAAAATAGTAGGGTGAGAATATGAGCCAAAATAACTTATGCAGTAAAGATTTCTATTTGTTACAATCCACAACTGTTATAACTAGCATTCTTCAAATTCAAGAGATTAAAAACTGTATGCACACATCTTACTGAAGAATACTTTCAAATACCTTTTTAAGATCTTGATAAATTAATGCAAACATTAAAATTTTTAGGCATCTTCAAAAGAAAGTGAAAAGTGATGAAAAAATTTAGTAGACATGAAAAGTAATCATGCTTCACATACCTAAATTATAAACCAACTGAGTAAGGAAATAATTGAAGATTTATGTTTATTTTCAAACACACACAAGTAAAATTAAAAAGATTTATCTTTTCTTGTCCCATAAGCTCAATACAGTCAACAGAAAACACACTGGTGGCCAATGAAAATAAAGAAAAAAATCTGCCTCTTGCATTGACTTTTGACTCAACCACCTATCTGAGTTGAGCTTCAAAAAATGAAAATAAGAGAAGGAAAAATAAAAATTAAACACTTTTTTAGCATTTAATAGGGAAATTTTGAATACTGGGCAATTAGGCTAAATGCTAGCTGGTCAAAAGTTTAAGACCTTACCTAAAATAAGTTTTAAACAGAGTAGGAAATGCCCAACAAGACATCTCAGCTGTCCTTGTGAATAACTTCAAAAATTAATTTTGGCATGGTTGATATAAGCATCTGCAGAAGGCTAGCTGTAATGTTATTCCAAATGGTGAAGATGGCTTCATGAAGATCATTTCTATAGATTTCCCTTGCCATCTGCCCCCAAACATTTTCAATAGGGTTCAGGTCAGACAAGCATGCTGGACGGTCCAAAAGAATCTTGTTATTCACCATGAAAAGTCCTTCATTTTGTGGGTATTATGGATTGCAGCGTTGTTCTACTGAAAGATCCAGTCATTTTCACACAAGCAAGGACCTTTAGGCAATAAGAATGCTCTCTCCAACATGTCACTGTAACTAGCTGCAGTTTGACACCCCTGTATAACCTGTAGTTACATTGTTCACTGGAAGGAAATAGCACCCCCAGATAATGATTGAACCTCTACCACTGTCATGTAGAAAATGTCTCCAGTGGGATATCATCATCATGCCAATAATGGTGGAAGTCATCTGGACCATCCAGGTTATGTTTTTTTTTCATCAGAAAACAAAACATTCTACTTTTCTATGTCCCACGTTTCACGCTTCTCAGCAAAGTTTAACTGAGCTGTTTGTGATGTGGAAGGAGATGTAAACTTTGAAGACATTTATGGTTTTAAAGCCTTTCTCTCGGAAATACCATCTTATTGTTCTTGAGCTGCATTCTGCATCCGTAAGGGCTTTAATCTGGTTTAATGATTGGCTGGTGTCAATACATTGAATCCTCCTGCTCAATGCTGACAAAATTTTCTTGGGCTGACTACTTGCAATTCATTTTGTATCTCTCAGGGTCTTTTAAGAAATCTGCAACAGCAGCTTTACTATGTCTAATCTTGCCAGTGATGGCACATTGAGAGAGACCTTGCTTTTGCAGCTCAACAATTCTGCCACCTTTTTAGCCTTTGCCATGAGTTTTACCTAATGTAATGCAGGAAATCACAATAGATGTTAACTGCAGTAATGCTTGAACACAAATGACTAATTTTGTTATATGTTTACCAACTAAAGCTTTGTTTAAATATGGTTTTAAACTTTTAACCAGCTAGTAATTTCCCAGTATTCAAATTTTCCCTATTAAATGCTAAAAAAGATTTTAATTTTATTTTCCTTTTCTTATTTTCATTTTTCAAAGCTCTGCTCAAATAAGTGGTTGAATCTAACAACACAAACGGTATATTGTTTCTTTATTTTCATTGGCCTTAATATTTTAGCCAGCAGTATATCTTGTTTGGTATATATGTCTCTTTATTCCCAAAGCAATAGCATAGATTCTTTTCTAAACAAAACTTTAACTAAAGAGTAAGCTAACTGTCAATCATTAAAAGTTAATATCAGTTTAAATGATTGATAAGTCAATCCAATCATACTGCTTAGGTTATACTTTAATATAAAAAAAATATGTAACTAAAGTACAAATAGTAACTGCAAGAGAAAATATGTACAGATTGCAAAATATTATTTGAATATAGCCAAACATGACTTTAAAATGATTTAATGGTATAAGTTCTATTCAAATTACTGAAAATATTGAGATACTCTTTTAAAAGATGAATGAGAATATCAGAAGCTAATTTAAATAAGATACCCTTAATAGTTAAATGATTATATTTACTATCAAGGGAACATTTGTTTTCATACTTTGTACTAACAAACTTCATTATTCACAAGACACTTTCTTTGAAAGATAAAGAAAAAAAAATGCTCTAATTTTTCTATATCATATGCTTTTTAAGTAATTAATAATTTAATGAGTAATAATGAACATTCCAGAAATCATTAATTTTACTAGGATAAACATGACTTAGTTTTTTAATCTTTAAGGCTAACAACATTGGTTGTAAGTGTAATGAACTAGAAGATAAATTTAAATTGTAAATATTAAAGTTAATTAACAGAGATAATTATCTTAAAACCAGATAGGAAACTGTAAAAGAAATTAGAACAAGTAACTAGTTGAAACATATTTAGAAGCTTGAAAAAAAAAAAAATAAAAAAAAAAAAAAATAATAAAATAAAACTCCCTAAACCATAAAGATATACATTATGCATCTAATAAGACTTAGTTATTACCTTGAAACAAGTATCATGAAAATATAGTGAGTATTCTTCTATAAATAATACAATCCTAAACCATGTTTCATTAAAACACTGAAAGTTTTATATTTTAGACAGTATAAGAGCCATATATCATTTTTAAAATAAACCAACACTCAATTTGAATTTTACAAAAATTGAAATCAATTTTGTAAAGTGTTTTCTGTTATGAATATAAGTATCACAATATTTCCATTTCCTATATTGTCATGTGTTGCTGAGAACATTTTTATAGTAAGAGATATTCAAAAGGTTGATACCAAAATTGAATACCTCACCATACAACACTCTTCAATAAAGGAAACAAATTGTATGGGAATTATATTTCTTTAATATTTATCCAAGGCTTTGAAAAATAAAAATAAAAAAATTGAATAAGAACACTTCATTCTCATGACTGTCCATTTTAGTGGGAAAATAACTAATTACATGGAAACGTACATTATTCTTTTAAGCAAACCATTCTAGTCATTCCTAGTTTATCTTGACGGGAAAGTCAGTCCTCAAAATCTAGGGGAGCTATAAAATGTGACACTATTTAGGTCGCTAGAAAGAAAGAAGAAGAAAAAAAAAAAAAAAACGAGAATTAAATTTAGGTGATAAGAAGCCATCACGAAAAGGACCCTAAGCGATGTTATTCTTTTTGACAAAGAAAAATGCTAAAAGTTTAATTCTCATTAGCGAGAAAAGTAAGGTCACGGATGTTAATCTGATTTCTGTTACGGGGCGGCGAATAAGATATATCCAATCTGCCCATAGCAATGGTAAACATTTCAAGTTGGACAAGTGACCTCCCGCAGAATTATACAGAGATAAAAATTAAATAGGTCATGACTGAAAAACAAAAATGTCCGCTGGAAAGATGAAGGAAAGATTAAGCCTTTGTCTATATGCATAATATCATTGAGAGGAGCATCTGTTTATTGTCAGGGCTGGCTATGATAGCAAAACTATTTTATCCGAACAGTTAATTAGCAACAGAATGCAAATACGTCCAGTTAAACCACCCACTTGATGCTGGCGAAAATCTGATTGATGAATTCCAGGTGACATCCAGATAAAATTGAGATTAAGAGACCACACCACGAGTCATATTGGGTTGTTGTCGAGAAGAAAAAAAGAAGGAAAAGAAAAGAAAAAGAAAGATAATTTTTTTTCTTTGAGCAAGATTTTTTAAACTGAGGCCAGTCTAGCCACACCCACGCCGCTGAGCGCCGATTGGCTGAATGGTGGTGTGAGCGTTAGGCAGAGGTAATCATGTGAAGTAGGAGGGGAGGCCTGTTGGCACCCATTGAGGGGATAGGTGTGAGATGCCACTGTGAGAGAGAGGGGAAACCCGTTGACACCCTCTGAGGGTATGGTGAGATACCAATATGAGAACAGAAGAAGGTGGGAAGACGAAAGACTTCCAAAATGGAAAATAATAAATTTTCCTGACCGAAAACAAAGAAGTGGATTGTGGATTTAGAATTATCAAGGAACCTCAAACCCCAACAAGCCCACCCCGGTTTTGGTTGGCATCCATATAAGCAGAGTCACAGCGAGTGAAAAGCAGTTCCAGTTGAGTTGGCAGTTCGAGTTAAGTTCGCAGTTCGCAGCTGAGTTGGATTGAGTTGGGCCGCCTTGCAGAAGCTGACTAAGATTCGCGCATTATCGACCTCAACTTCTAATCAAGAACAATTTACTTTTGAAGAACGACTTAGACTCACACCACCAAAACAAGTTTTACGAATATCGCCTGAAGATACACCAAGAACCAGTTTCTTAAAGAACAAACAACTTAAGATGTTAAGACTTGCCTAACAAACACAAAGTGTCACGAATCCATATAGCAGGTTGGGAAGAAGACACAGTCCTGTATTCAGCAACCAGATATAAAGTATTGTTATCCTTTTTTTAACACATTTGAACTTTTCGAGTTATTATTTTATTTTCTTTTATATATACTTGTGTGGTGTTATCCTTAGCCGGACTCAGCTTGCATTACGGCCCGGCGACTGATTGATTTCATCTACCTAAGATCAAATCACGTGGGTAGGTTAGACTAGAAATCAAAACAGTTACTTCGGGCGAGCTGGGAACGATAAGGCTGATACTGAATCTAACCAGATTCCCATCCGAATCAGCAAAAGGTTAGAACGTCACATTTGGTGCCACGACCAATACCAAGTCACCTTGGTCGTCACGCGGCCTGGCAGACGTCACGATTGGCGCAGCGACACCGGGGGACGTTCACAAAAATCAGAAGTAAAAATTTGTAAGGAATGCAAGTCTATAGATCCAGCACCCATACATTAGCAAAAGGGTATGTTGAAGTGGCTGCTGTTTAGTACAAATCGGGGATGGACATCATCCACAATAGCAAAATGAGAGTGAGATTAAGGTGAATATGAATGAATGAGGTGTATTTACCATATTCACTCATAGTGAGAGGTAGCCAATGCACTCATGAATGAAACTCAAAAACCTACTTGTGAAGGAATACCAAAACAAAACAGCCACTTCCTGGTTCCTGCTACTGTAATCAAAAGATTAAGGAGAAATGTACCAATAAAAGCAGTTAAACGAAACAACACCCACAGGTCACATGTATTCTTTGCCAAAAAATAAAAACTTTTGTTGGCAGAATATGCAAATTTTGATCTAATCAATCATTGGTGTCTCAGATGTGTACATAAACAACTATATCAAATAAATAAAATAAAAAAAAAATCAAAGATTGTTCCTCTATATTTTTACAGTATTTTTAGCATGTGCTTTTTTTTTTCCTTAACAAAAAACTCACCAGAGACGCATGCTCTCTAAAATTCATAAAAAGAATAAGATTTGGAATCATCAAATGACTCACCAAAAACATATATTTGTTGACAAGTTTACTTACAGAGACAATACAATTGCTTCTATCCATTTTCTGCGCATTTCTTCAGTCTTGGCAAAAAACGTATAGGCTAACATTTGATTCTTTTGTACCATTGTGAAAGAATAATTCCACTGAAAAGAAATAATATTCAAATTAAATGTTATGGTAAAACACCTGCATTTACTGTGATGGAAAATAATTAGAACTGAGCATTTTACTAGAAAAACAAAAGATTAAAAATCAAAATGTTATTAATGTTTGGTACTGTCAGGTTAAAAATATGCTAGAACTAAATTTTATCCATGATTTTAGACTGCAATGTACACAATTCTCAAAATATCTTGTTACCACCTTCCCATTACAAAATGACTTAAATGAATATAATGAGTGCAAAAAAAGTACTTATGATATCCAATTAAGCATTGGTGTAAAGTGTTCCAAATAAAGCAATTTCCATTTAGCCCATATAATCTCAAAGGTTTAACTAATTCCAGAAATTTTTAAAATTTTAAAGCTGACTTAAAAAAAAATGTCAACCAAATATTAAATATGTTTCTATAAATATTTCAATTTTGTAAACATTTTTCTTTTCATTTCAAATTTACTTCAGTTTTACTTTGATTAATCTTCTGTACAAAAATACTTATGAAAGTAATCAATTGTACAAACCAGTCTATATTGTGTACCATAATAGTTAAAAATTGAATCTAATAGACAAAAGGTTCATACTAAATAGCAATTAGTTTTTGAATTTTCAAGAGTTTTAGTATGTCTAACCTATTGTACTTGAGAATTCTTGATGCTAATCAAAAATAAAGAAAATTAATTATGGTTTCTACTTTAAAGAGAAACAAAGATTTAAAATATAATCAGTTCAGATTATAAGGCTAAAGTATGTTTAATTTTAACTTTGAAACATTCCCTTAGGTAGAGAAAAACAATTTAGAGTATAGAAAGGTCCTACTAATTAGATGAGACTTTGCAGAAAATGGCTTTCTATTATTTTCAGATCCATTTAGATTGTATTTTGCATCACTTTTTATATTCCCAAGTGTATAACAGAGTTTTTTTATTACAAATCTTATATATGCATTTTTACTCATTCTTATGGGCTATCTTTCAGATTCAGCTTAAATATAGATATGGTAAAGATTAAAACAAAAAATATAAAATGCCTAGAAGGTGCTTGAATTAAACTCTGAAAGTGTAATTAGAGAAGGGGGGCAGTTTTTGAAAGGTAATTAACAAAATGACTGCTTTTGCTTAACACTGTGCCTGAGACTGGCTCATTGTTCCAGTCACTAAATGTAGCCCTACATGCTGAATGTTTTTCCATGGTATTCCCAGGGTCAAGAACTCCAGATCATCACTTTACTTGGGTGAGAACACACATGAATTTCTTTAGTGTTTTTTTTCTCTCCTCTATCCAGTGTAGATGTAGGATTCTGCTGTCCACTAGTTCAGCAGTGCCCTAGAAAGGAGACTCTTTCAACAATGTTGTGTTTAGGTAAGAGCTGAAGAAATCTCACTCAGAGTAGAAATATCACAAGTATGAATGAACCAGTTATAAGTCATACAAAACTAAAGTTGAAGCATTCTCAAGATTTTGATCAAAACCTTGGAATAATGACCCAAAAGCTAAATACCTTAAGATTTTAACAAAATAGAGTTTATTTTAGCTGCTGGCTGCATAGGCATTTCAACCTAACATTACTATCTTTTCCAAATTCTAATGCTTGACAATGGTACACATTAGTCAGAACTTAGAATTGCTTCTTCATGACTATAATGATCAAAGTATAACAGTTTTGTGCCTGTTTGTTCTACCTTTCAGAGGTTGAAGTGATAATCCGGTGGCCTGTTGAAATCTACTTTTCCCATGTCTCTTTTCTGCTGGCTTCAGCAGAATTTCCTAAAGTGTGCCCCACTCCTGTGTATATGTAATTCACCCTGCCAGCTTGTGACCAATGATGTATTGTTATGATCTGACCATTAATTTACATTCTCTAAAGGAGGGTCTCTTTTGTTTTGGTAGCCAGTTAACCAAGTTTCTAAACATAATTCTTGATAATGACTGTAATGACAATTGAAAGTAACCAGATTAAATAATAATAATAATAATAATAACAACAAAGAACTTTGTAAATTTTACCAATTGTATAAAACAACTTAGTTGAAAGTTGTAAAAACTTTTAAAAAAATTGAACAAATGAACCTTGTTGGTATTGTTCTATATATATATATATATATATATATATATATATATTTCGATAAACGTGCAATTAATTTACAAATTCATGAATTATTCACACAAAAAACAAATGCAAAGGTTAATGATTTAATTGGCGAGAAATCCATCATCGCAAACAATTCAAATAATATACAAAAACCTCCGAATCCGTTATGAATGAAAAGATCCTTGTTTCTATAAATTTCTGCCGTATTAGTTCTTATTTTTTTACTACAAGCTTTCGTCTGTTCCTACAGACATCTTCAGGTATGGAATAGATGTTGTTCTTGTTTTTTCTCTTAGTAATAAGAGGACAATGAAAATATATGTATTGTTGTATCCGAAAATGCTATTGGAAAGGAGTTATTGTTTTTGGAGCGTGCAATAGCAACGCTGAGTTTGATTTAAAATTTTTTACAGTTGTGCGTTCATGTACAAATATGGTGATAAACGAATTTTTTACTGGTAAATTTTCTGTCAAAGTGGCATGAACTATATTGTTTAATAATTACAGTAATGTCGCACTTATTATCCAAAAGTCGCACTTGGATCAGTTATTTTAATTTCGATAAACGTGCAATCAATTTACAAATTCATGAATTATTCACACAAAAACAAATGCAAGGTTAATGATTTAATTACAAAAATCCATCTTTTGTAAACAATTCAAATAATATACAAAAATGGATTTTTTGTATATTATTTGATTTGTTTTTTGTGAATATTTCATATATATATATATATATATATATATATATATACCTTGTGTTTGTGTTTGTGTGAATAATTCATATATATATATATATATATATATATATATATATACACACACAAGTAAAAGGATTGTCACTTAGCTGCTTGATCAAGCGACAAACCTTTTATATTAATTCTATTAATGCTCTGTTTTTGATATCAAGCACTTTATTGCAAAGACTGCTTGACTTTTTAAATGTCTTTTCTCTCACAGTATTTTTGGCTTCATACTATTTTTGACATTTGTGCTCTCTCTCTCTCTCTCTATATATATATATATATATATATATTATTTTTTTTTTTAAAATATGATTCCTTTGCTACAAAAGAGTTCTCACGTTTCAAAAATAGAAGCTAAAAACTTTATTTTAATTATAGAAATTAAATTAAAGTACTTAGTTCTGTTTCATCCTCAAGCAAATTTTGTAATAACAAATTTTGAAATTTACAGAACTTTATAAGCATATTCGTAATATTAATTTCTATGGAAATGGAGAAAACCAATCATTCTAATAAGGAGCGGTAGGGTTTACATTTTCACTAACAACTATTGTATCAACATATTAGTTACTTTCGAAAACATGTTAAGTCAAGGTAGTGTCAGGGTGCCTATTTTCAAACGAATGATGACATCCGTTCAATGCATATCATCTGGTCTATTTCAATGACAGAGTTTTTGGCACTTTTTGTTATGCCATTAAATTTGTATTTGTATACATAAAGATTTTTTCCTAAAAGGGTTGTTTGTACATGAATACATCGTATTGAACTACAAGGGTTTTTTTCTTTCTTTTTTATGATTGGGTTAAGTTTTTAAACCTATTGCTTTAATTGAACTTTTTTTTTGTTGAAAATTTTAAGCTATACACACACACACACACACACACACACACACACAAAATACATAAAGAATATATACAAAATAGGTTTACCTTGTCTGGCTTCCTCTGTTGGTCTCGGCTGGGCACTTGCTCATCAATTCTATACTCAGCCAGAGCTATAGCCTCCTTGTAACTGTATGTCTCTCCCTAAGAATCAACATGAACATAAAAAAAAAATAAAGCAATAAACAAAGGCTGACCTTTAAGGTAGTATTTCTTTTTTTTTTTTTTTTTTAATGTAGCAATCCATAATTGAAAAGGAAAAATGTTCTTAATTCAAACCAAAATAGCTGAAAAAGATAACATTATAAAAAAAAAATGTTCCAAAAGTGCACCTGTTACTTTTCCTCCTTTCTTGAAGAAAGTAAAAAGTTTTTGTTTTTTTTTTGTTTTTTTTTTTTGTAAATTTGGGGTGTGCATAATTTAAGTCAGTGGAAATTTCTGCTATAACTGCTTAACTCAGCAGAAATTTAAAACATGACACTTTGAATATAAGGATATTTTGTTGTAAAAACCTTTTTCTATGTTAGTTGAGTACAGAAACCTTACAAAGCAATTTATCTGTGCCTTTTAAAAAGAGATAAAGTAAAAACTAAAGCTTTTATTTTAAAGGCTATATCTCTTTTCCAATGAAATATTCAACTGTTGGATTTAACATTTTGCTTAGGGAATATTTTAGTCTTCAAAAATTCTAACAGCTGAAAAATCTATTAATTTCGTTCTAGTAGATCTTCAAAACTCAAGTCCCAATTTTTCCTTATAATTTTGAATTGTAAAAACAAATTTAACTGGGCAATAAACTTGTAAGATGATTATTTATATTTATTAAAATTATGTATTTTGAAAGTAAAAAGAGGTCATAAATGGGTCATTAAAAAAAAATTGCAGTTTTTCTATATGGAAATATTTAAAAAAAAAAAAAATCATCTCACAAAATAAAATAACCACCAAGATGTACTATGAGTACGTATCAACCAAAATCTCATTTTCATGCTTTAGTAGATTATTTATTGAGCATCAATGAAGTAGTTCTCAATTAAATATAACTTACCATAACTTCAAGCTGAATTTTATCAACTTATTTTCTTTTTATTTTCTAAATAATATTTTTGACAAAGATCTTGAAGTCTTTCAAGGTTACAAGAATATAGGTATAAAAATATGCAGCTGAGTAAATGTTAGCATAATTATTCAAAACTAACAATCTCTTATCAAGAGATAAAGCTTAATGATTTTAAAAAGAGATTAATAAAGTAAGATTAATTTTAAAAACTTGAAATTTTTAAATCCTACAAAAGTTTTTCAATTATTAATTCCCTAATAAATAATAATGACATATACTGCTTACATTTCTAAAATTATTAAAATATATAAATGTTTTCCTTTCTAATCCTCCCCATTTACCTAAAATCTTAAATTAATTCATTAATGATTATTCTAAAATCATAAAAATGGTGACAAACAACAGTTTAAAAAGTGTAAGGTTTAACAATTTAAGACATCATTTTTTATACTTATTAGATAAGGTATTAACTCTGATTATGTATGTCTTTGAAGTGGTTTGAATTCTATATAAGAACTGTTTTTTTTTTCTGCAGTATACTACACAAGAAGATGACTGGATGTAGGACAGTCAAAATGTCATAAAACAAAAAAAAAACAGAAGATGGGAATGTTAACAAAAAGTAAATAATGAACAATTCTTGGGAAACTTATTTTATGAGACTATTTTTTCAGCTTAACCAACAACATTGGAAAACATGCAGGAAAAAAGGGGGTAACTAAAGACAATTCAGGTGCAGAATCTAATATACACAAACATTATTTTGGAGTAGCAGCATTTCATAAAAACAAGTGAACAAAATAAAATTATCATACATTTAAAATGTTCAAACTACAGGGCACAATTCCATTCTTGCAACATTTAAACACAAGGAAATAAAATTCATTTGTTTTTTTTCCTTATATTTATTCTATCTAATTTCATAAAACGATATTGACTGAGCTAATATTCAAAAACTTCAAATTATAGAAGTTTTTGGAATATCTGACGAAGTAAATTAATGAAAATATTGAAAAAGTTAAAATTAATTTGTTCAATGGAATCAAAATGATTATATTTAGATGAGAATTACCAGATCAACAGTTTTAAAATTTTATCACAGATTCTGAGCAACTTTAGCTTTAATTGAAGGGATTTTTCTTTCAAAGAAAAGAAGCCAGCACTTCAGTGTGCTCAATAATATTTGAAAATCACAAACTTGGACTATCTACAAAATTACTATCTTCTTACAATATAAAACTATTAATACATATCTTATATCCAGTACTGAATATGCATAAATGAAACCATTTATTAATTTAATTTAAATGCATATATTAATCATTCAAAATTCTAAAAGAATGATAGTCTTGAATAAATCTACACTCAAAGACATTATCTTAGATATACCCATCTTTTGAAGCTTGAAACAATGACGTTTATAAAAATTCTACAGAGAAATTACCATATATACTTGTGTATTAGCTGACTTATGTATAGTATAACCACTGAATATTTTTTTGCATGAATTTTAACCTTTAATTGTGTATAGTGCAACTGAAAAATGCATGATTTTTTAGGCCCCTATTTTTTGTGTAAAAAACCTGACATAAAAACTTGCATTATACTTGAGTATATATGGTAAACATTTTTTTTATTTTTTTTTACTCAAAACTGTTTTCAAGAATGGAGGATTTGTAAATTATTCCTAAAAAATAGGCATGACCCTCTGATCATACAGAACTGAAAGAGTTTAAAAGAAATACATTCTACTGATAAATTATAAGAATGGTTAATTTGATCATATTAGCCTATGAATGTATAACTGCAAAAAGCACAATAAAAATAGATGGCTTATTTATATTATTTCTTATGTATATTGTTACAAATAAATTGCAGTCTGTTTACCTAAATAAGGTCAGGTAGAGGGATTTTATATACCACAATCATACATCATATTATATAATAGCATACAAACACATGTAATATTAAAAATTGAACAAATCATCATGACAAATTTTAAAACAAAAATAAAAAAAATACAGACAAAATGCACAAAATATATAAATAATTAACAGAAGAAAACACAACATAGAGCTTTTTTTATTTAGAAAGTGAACAAAAAGAACACAAAAAGATTCACCCACTTTATGAAAGTGGGTAAAGAGCACACTAAAGATGCATGCAACATGCAAAATGAGACAGAAGTAAAAAGGTTTGGGGGTAAAACACAGAAAAACAAAGGGTGTAAGCAAGAGTGTCAAAAAGCAATGCTTGCTCTTCATGCTTTTCCAAAGTCTCAAGACTGTAAATATTATAGCTAACTGAGTCAGTGCCAACAATGCCATTCAGGTGGTCTGCAGCAATTATATTTGGTGCTACATTAATCTTATACTAGCAACAGCATGTTGAGGACAGATAAATTCTGACCTATTAAAAGGCAGTAATTATGCCAGCCCACTTGACATTGGCATAATTTTGTTTTCTTTAAATTTTTCTTTTTTTTTTTGGTGGATTGGGTTGCTTGTGTAAATGAAGAGAGATTATTTTATAAATCTCAATTCTCAGAAAAAATTTGTTAGATGTGTGAAAATTTTAGTTTAAAGTGATTTTTAAATCATAATTTTTAGAACTGTATCAATAAATTTACCAATTTTTGCTGTTCTATTTATCTTTTATGCTTTGATTTTACAGCACTTGATTGATTCTTCACTTATATAATAACAGAGATGTTTCCACTTTACATCATAATCTGATTATGTAATGCAAATTTATAATCAAATTATATTCCAATATTTCATGCTGCTGTGATACAGATATCCAATTAAGCTAGGTGAAATACTTTCGTAGATGGTACACATCTATGTCTAAGTTATGTATCTATCAAAATGTATCTAAGTTATGTATCTATCAAAATGTATCTAAGTTATGTATCTATCAAAATGTATCTAAGTTATGTATCTATCAAAATGTATCTAAGTTATGTATCTATCAAAATGTATCAAAGCACAGAAGATTCTAGACACAAAGTCAAATGTAACAATCCCAGCAATAAAATCCATTATAAAAAAAAAACTATTGAGCATTTTTAAGAAGCAGCAGCAAGTTATGAAAATAGGAACTAAGAGAAACTGCAAATATTTAGCATGTTTAATAAATAAAACAAATATATTTTAAGTAATTATTATAATTTATAATCTAAATGCCTATATTGAAGCTTCTGATTTTGTAAAAACTAGAACTTCAAATGCTAGATATTATTGCCAGTCATCATAATATTCAACAAGATTTAAATAATGTAAAATATATATAAACTGTACCAAAATATAAATATATTATATACTGCTCTACATTAGAAAATTTATAATAAAGAGATAAAAATAAAATATCACCCACACTATTCCAATATTAAAACCTTATTTAAGCCAGCATTCTTAATAAACCTAGGTAAGATTGACAAGTACAGATCTATTATAGTGAAATAGAGAATTATGCTGTTACAGTTAAAAGTGCCATTCTGATCACATACATCAACAAGGAAGTGCAGAAAATTTAATGGTCTAACCAAGAAGTGATATCAAAAAATATTCTGCTATTGGGTCAGATTTTAAAAAGTGGGTGAGGCTAAGAATTTTTCAGCACTTTTTTTTTTTTTTTTTTTATAATAGAAGCATATGGGATGGTTAGGTCAAAATTATACCTCCAATCAAGTTGACATACCCCATAACAACTGATATAACATGCTAACATAAACCACTATACATAGTCTTAATATTACGTTCAAAATATGCACATTCACCTAAAGGGAGTTAATTCAGTTCAGATTAGATTAAATTTTAGTGATTATTTATTTTTAATTAGCAAAATAGATTCCAGATTTACAAAAAAGTAAATAACTATTAATGAAGAAACTATTGAAATAAACAGCACAGGATGAGTGCATAATGATAATGACTATATCCCCATAATACATGCAATAGTGATACAAGGTATTCACTGCTGATGTTTAAAAAGATTTTTAATATGCTGAAACATTAAAAATTAAGGCAAGTAAGCATATAGGATTTTATAAGAAAAATTAACCTACATATATTTTTTTAATCAT